ATCTGAAAACAGACAATAACCGAAATAACATGGGAAACCGGGGATAAGAACATTTAAATAGATTTTTGAAATATTTCTGGAAATGGAATGCAAAACTAAGAAAATTAGTGTTATTTATTAGTTTAATCTTTACCTAATAATATAAATATTTTATGTAATAATGAAAAAAATAAAGGTACTTTGAAAAATTAAAAAAAATTGTACATATTTGAGCGAACGCGTCACTGAAAATTTATATCAGACCATTTTTAGATTTACAGTATTGCGTCACACTGGGAACTTCGAAAGAAGTGTTTTTTACTTATATTTGAAATCATGGGGAATAAAATGTCTTACATACGTAAGATGAACTTTTCCGCACTGTGATCCACAACATGCATTTATTACAAATCCTTTCCTCAAAGAATTTACGAGAAAACTGAATCTGACATTAGTTTTACGATAAAAATGGGAATATTTTTATCGGAGCCATGCCTATATGATATCGTAATCATGTGAAAATTTGCAGAGGTTATTTTTTTCAAAAAAAGTTAACATTCTGAAAGTTTGAAGAAATTTCAATGCATATTAAGGGTACTTCCCATACAACATTTCGTTTTTGAGCGAAAAATCCAAAATTTTGTTTGGGAGGTACCCATAATATGCGTTGAAATGTCTTCAAACTCTCGAAATGGTATTTTTCTGTGATAAAGATAACCGGTGCAAAGTTTCAGCTCATTACGATATCATAAAGACATGGATTTCATACATAAATTCAATTTTTTTGAAATTTTTGTATAAAAAGTGTATCGAAAGTTATTTGTATCGCAAAACTAACGTCATATTCGGTTTTCTCGTACCCAAAAACCCCCCAATACACATTTTTGAGTGTTTATGTATACATTAAATATCACTTTTGGAAGAAAAATTGAATTTTTCACATGGATGGCATGTCATCACACCAGACATGACACTCTACTCTGTCAACCAAAGTCGCTCAAAATCTAATGGTTTCTATTCCTCGGCACCCCCAATCATCCTGTGAAGTCAGATTTTGAATTACTTTTCTTGTGTGAAAGTTATCGTGTTAACAAATTTTTGCGTACAGGTTACAGCGTACAGGGTACAGCGTACAGCGTACAGGGTACCACGCACATACATTCGGACATCGAAAAAACGCTAGATTCGTGTTCCCTGGCTCCTAAAATACCCAGAAAACATGTTTTTTGAGGGTGTTAATTTTTCGACCGATTCCAATACTTTACCTTACACACTAGGTGTGTGCGGAAAAGTAAAAATGTAATTATTCATAATTTCAATGCAATTTGGATTCAAATGTTTTTATTTGGTGTAAAATTATATTGTAAAATGGAATTTAAAGGAAAAAGTGATGTAATATGCATGTAACTTATTAAATTTGACATTAATTTGTACGTCACCTGGATTTCATCCTAATATCGACTCTCCTGCAATTAATTTAACTCAATTTTCATTGGACAATAAAATGAGAAAGACAAATGAGTTTGTTTTTTAGCTTCGTTTTATTCTTTGGAAGAACTTATCATTTTAAACAATAATTCTCTTTGAAAGGGAATACTTTTATATTCGTAATATTAGTAAAATACATTTCGTCTTAATTAAACCCGTTAAGTGGTGACATTTTTTCGATCTAGTTTCTTGTGCTTTGAACAAATTTGTACTTACATTTTCTCTAGACATTCTTCGACAGTCAAAACCTTTTCATTCTGTAACTTCATTTCGTTTTTAGTTAAGTGAGATTTTAAAGTAGACTTTGTGGTGAATAGCTTGAAACAATGGAAGCATCGGAATGATGCGGTATGAGTGAGCATATGTCTGACTAAATTTTCTTTACGTATGGTGTCATATTTGCACAAGTAACATTCAAATAGTTGTCGACTGCAGCTTTTCTCGTGCGCAATCTTTGTCCGTTGCACCGTGAATCCTTGTCGACAAATCGAGCAATGGAATGGGAATTGTTTTGCGTGAGTTCTCATGTGCTTGTTCAGACTCTGCTTTGTAGTAAATCCTTTCGCACAAATGTTGCATTCAAATGGTTTGCCGCCAGTGTGTTTGCGTCTGTGCCTTATCAGATCTGATGGATGTTTGGCCACATAATTACAAAACTCACATTTTGTTTTGGATTCTACGCCTGATGTCGCTCCATTCTGTTGTTCAGTGCCATTTGAATTGGTTTCGTTCTCCAGCCGTTCTTCAACAGTGAAAAGTTCTTGAACTTGTGCTTTCGCTTTGCCATTAAGTCGTTTTAAGTGCGATTCTAAATCAGATTTCTTGGCGAATCGTTTCGCACAATGAGAACATCGGAATGGTCTGTCTCCGGTATGAATGCACATATGATCGACTATGTGTGTTTTGTTGAATGTATCATATTTGCACAAGTAACATTCAAATCGCCGTGGATTGCAGTTTTTCTCGTGCGTCTCCTTTGTCCGTTTCACTGTGAATCCTTGTCGACAAATCGAGCATTGGAACGGGAATTGTTTT